ACAGTCTCCACTTACTGAGCATGACATAATGCAATGATCACGTAAAACTAAATTATGTACTGGTATGTGGTAGTCTGCATGGATCGAGTAAAATTACTCTTACCATGCAACATGCATGGCAACTGTTTTCTTTTCATCGCAGCGGCAGCTTTCAAATTGTATTTTACTCGGTGGATGATGTGTTATAATTAAAATATAATTAAAATGCAGTTATGTTGGAAATGTGTGTACGGTCAAATAGCACAATGGTTCCGGGTTGGAAGATTTTAAAGACCTTACAGGATCTTGGCAGTGAAATAGTTCCCCAAGGAAGCAACAACATTTCGTGATTTTGCTAGAAGATCTTTACACATATTTAAGTCTTTAAATCAAACCGTGCCGGAGTCAGCGATCTTCGAAATAATTCGAGGATTTTATAAGAAATGTGCTCTAGGAATGTAATATTATTATCGTATCCGGATATAATATCTTATCCAATATTTCACAAATGTGTGAGTGTTACACGATATAAACTGCCGTATATATGTGAAGATATTATACTATGAAGAACACGTGGTTCATACTTTAAGTAGCCATCATATCGGAGTATCGGGCATATTTTATGCGCATATCTTGCCCTAAAAATGTTTGTGACATAATCATGATAATATACCATATCTTTTCTTCTATCGGTGCCCTTTGATGTGTGTTTGTATAGGCAACAATTTAACATCTGCCGGTACAATTATACTCAGATTGCTGATACTCTGATATTCTAACATTTGTATATCTTGAATCTAAGGCTTACTACAAATTAGATTAACCAGAAGATATACAAGTTGGCTTCAACTGATACGCCGGGAATGGATCTATTTTTACTCATTCCCTCATAAAACTGTATAATTAAACGTGTTGTTTGTTAGGAAAAATGTGTGCTTGTAGGAAAAATGTGTGCTTGTATAGAATGTGTTTAGTGTTATTATATCATGGGAAAATAGATTCGATTTGGAATTTCGTCAAATGGAAGCAGCTTTATAACATTACGCTCGTATGGTGACCTAATTTCAGGAAAATGAAAATAGTAATTAGTAAAGTTAGATTCGTAGTACGAACTACGAGGGGCGAAATAAGGGGAGTGTGTCGAGTTAACAAAGTGTCAAATTTGGACAGGTTGCCTGGCAAATTACCCCGCTTTAAGTGAGTTTAGAGCTACCATCCCCACTTTCCTGTGATAAAGAGGTGATTTGTGAGCCTGTCCCGCCCTTGTCGTGTGATTGTGCTTCACCCAAGGCCAATCTACATCACGTCAAAAAGTGCAATCCAATTTTAGTGATTAATATTTCGCTATAAGGCTTATAATATCTTCCTCACACATTTGGCTTCTGGTTGCCACGCCCTCCCACCCCTGCTACAAACTTACTGAACCTTCATAACAACTCCTACGAGAAGGAGACCTTGGCAGTTACTTCAATACCGTAACAGGTTTCCAGGTTTCAGTTGAAAGGTTGAAGCCTAGTTTAGGCTCAAAACCCATTCCCAAAATTGAAATTTGAGGTAAAATGGGTTTTTTTGGGGTTGGACACCCCCCCTAAGTACCATGTACTAACTGTTTTTCTGGGAAATGAGCAGCAGACCCACCACTTAGTACAAAAATACTAACTGTGTTTTGGAAGAAAATAATGACCGGCCCCCCCCCCCCCCCCCCCAACGTCACGTACGATCCTGATCCTGACCTTATGATCCCCCCCCCCCCCGACAAATTGAATTCCTGAATGGAAACTACAGCTATGAAGGTCGTAGTTAGGAACAGGTCTAGTAACTCCTAGCCCTACCATATAAGTAGTCTATCTGAGAGGCAGTATTCTTCTAGACTTTACTGTTAGTGTAAAGATCCGGCTAGTTCCATTCTACCTTCTTAAGTCTTCTTAATCTGTTAATAGTACCCTAAGCTATTCAAAATGATTGATTTTCTTAAAGAAATTTTACTTTATATGGTTCAATGTCATTCGTTAAATCGTTTCCGTCAAAGTTTTGAATGCTCAGTTAAGGTCGGCAAATTTGTTACTGTTAATGCTACTCGGAAGATTAACAAGCCTTACAACAGGTCTCAAGCTAAGAATTATCCCACAGAATTATCTCAGTTAAATCCGCAGTCAAAGACGTGTGAAGTTGTGATATTCCTGACTAGACCGTGTCTTGACGCACAATTTGGGTTATTAAACACACACTTTACAAGAACTTACAAAACTTTGTAAATTAGGAGTCTGAATTTAGCACGTACAAGATCTAAAACAAGACAATTCTAGTTTCACCATACCATGATTCCAGCAGCTCGTATCTGGTAAAATAATTCTGTCCTGAAGATGTGGCGGGGTCTCTCTCGGTATTAATGTTCGTTCACCGATCTACTCATTATCATTGATTATATTCTTATGCAGTATATTGGAGTTCTGCAGTATATTGGAGTTCTGCAGTAATTTATGGGAAGGACTAAATATATTTACTGTACAGATTTTCCGAAATTGCTATTTCCAATCAATAAAGCTTTCCAGACGCAGTATTCCTGTAAGATTCAACTATATCGATTTCCCTCGCATAAATTATGTTTAATAATGTTGTTTATGCTTTAGAGTTGAATAGGCTCAGCTCTTTGGGTAAGATGCCAACAATCTACCGGTTCGAACATGGACATCAATTCATTAATTGTGAATAAGATATATAAATTTCTGACATTTTTCACATAATTTACCTCATCAAAATATCTTTTGTTTATGTTGGTAACCCGTGCTCAACCCAGACTTGGACATATTCCAACTATGAGTACATAATAAGTTTAAGAACATAATAAGTTTAATAACAAGTGGCAGGTACCCCAACATACCTTTCATTGATAAAGTTTGATTATAACTAACGACAGCTCAATTTATATTTAAATGAGGCTTTTAAGTTGGACATACTCAGTACTTGCTGTAAACAGAGTAGTAGTCTAATTAACTAATTATGAGATGACTAAATTAGCTAATTACCCCCTCTATTTTCCTGTCCCCTCCCTCTCTCTACTTCCCCTCTCTTACACGCACTCTACATTCACTAAGTACACCACTATTATACCACCACATCACAGTTCACTACATGGACCTACAGTGGTATGTAGCCCTATGTATTGTTCACAGTACCACTGTATGTGTACAGTAACACAGAACTAATATATAATCTTTAGTCATAGACTCCGGCCTTTGTGTACAGGTCTGAGAAAACTAAAACAACAGAGTTCTGATATCCGACTGAAGCAGCATGTGTTATAGAGTGAGTTGTATGATATAATCGGTTAGATTCATGGTTGTATGTGAGGAATGTGTTTGGAAGAATGGGGAGGAATGCTGTGTTGGGGTGTGGTGATCGGTGAATAGCTGTGGCGTATCATTTACAATAAAAGCTCCGCTTCTATGAGGAGGTTATGTTTAGCTCTGAAAACTTTAAACTATTTGTTAAAATTATTCCACGATAACCTTGGTTCGGAAATGTTAAAACTTAAAAGGGAAATGTGGTGTAAATATAATGTATAATTATATTCTGGACCTTTCCATCTGAATCCTAATTAAACCAGCTTGAATGCGGTATACATGTGCAACTCCGGAAAAGTTCTACACGATTATTATATTCGAGCTGATCACGTGACATGTCCAAAATTCTGGCATACATAATTTAGCATCGCTATTATGATATCTGGATATATATATATATTAATTTACAAACTACTGTAACAATGAATAGCACTTGTATATTATACATGCTGATTAGTCTATACAGTGATATTTAGACAATCTTTTCAGCAGCTTTTCCCTCCCATGAAGAAGACAGAAATATGCGTCTCGTCGCGTGTTTTATCTCATGTACACATAATACTATACAAAATCCGTCTCCTTGTATGTATTCAACGAATAAGAAACTCCTCTCCGTATATATATAATAAAATAACAACATATATTACACATGCAGTATAATAATGATATATAACGATGATAATAATAACAATATACTGGGGTTCTAATTACGGGGGGAGGGAGTATATACAGTTGTGTACCTGACTGTTAATGAGTCGCTGAGTGACGGGAGAGAGAGTGACACAGCAACAGAGAGAGAGTGACACAGCAACAGTCTTGTCAGGGTACCGCTGTACTTCATGACTCGTACGTGTACTTTATATACTACCGAGTATTGAAGCAGTAGACCTTGTTTAGAATACGTACATTGTAACAGGGTATATATACCCAGTACCCACAAATTACAAATTACTTGAAATTATATGCTTGTAATTTAGAGTGAACTTTGTGCCTCCTAGGAGGGTAGCAAACCGCGGCAGCCTCTTCTAACTTTGTTGGGAAATACGTGTATAACTAGGTGTAAATTACACGCACATGGCGTGAATAGAAACCGGTGTCGTAATAGTCTGTCTTACGTGTGATCTGGTGTATCTACAGAGAGATTCTGCAATTTAACAAGTTTACATGTGAATTTTGTTCAATATCACGGATATGTCCAGGCGAGATACTTAGCACGTACCGGATAACATGATGAAGCTGTGTTTCTAATATTAGGTCGTTACTATTTTAAAATAGAATTAACCCCTGATCAAAGCGTTATCACCCATCTCGTATTCAACGGTATTTTTAGATCTAATATCTAATGGGTTCTCTATCTGTATTTGTAAAATATTAAAAAGCCTTCGACACATAATATCTGATATTATATTGCACTTTGCAGTGATCTATATTTAAAACTAAAAATAAGCAGACAATACATCATATATTCCAAATTTTTATGTAATATGAGCAGGCGGTTAACAAATTGTGCCTCGTGATCTTCCTCTATACGGCTAATCCTGTCAGCCCCTTATTCGACAGTTTCTTCAGAATTTGCAAGACTACAGAGTACATTCTGACATTTGTTTGATGTTGTTCCAATTATCGTTTCGGAAAAAACACTCTTATTTCCAATGTTAATCATGATTTATTTTTCAGATGCTGGAAGTCCTGCCTTTGACGAATTCTTGGAGACAATTGGAGAGAAAGTGGCATTAAAAGGATTTGATTCTTTTAGAGGAGGCCTTGATAATAAAAGTAAGTTTACGATAATATTAAACACGTACTTTGGAATGTGAATTTGAAAAATGTGCACCATGGGATTGTCCTAATGACTGATGTAATCACAACGCAAAATGAAACATTCCAATCTAAGATTGACGCTCCGCGCACTCATGGAAGTGCTGCGCGTTATGTACTCTATAAAATTTTCGTCCAGAAATATTTAAAGTACCACATTTACAACAGTTACTATAACAAACACGCGCGTTTCTCTGGTTGATAGCGTAGAATTATTGAAAGATTTTACCTCTGAAATTTTCAGGTGATACGACAGGAACTCACTCTGTCTACACAAGATACAACAACTGTCAAATAATGTTTCATGTGGCAACTTTACTTCCTTATACCGAAAACGACAGACAACAGGTTACTTTTTAGAGTGTGGTGTTTTCAAATTTTTGTATACCACAAAATAATCGCAAGCGTATTTCCTGGTTTTGCTTTCGCTTCCAAATACTCACCTTTATACCTACACCCAGGTGGTGAGAAAGAGGCACATAGGTAACGATATCGTGACAGTTATCTTCCAAGAACCTGGCTCGTCCCCCTTCACACCCGCCCACTTCCGCTCACACTACCAGCACGTGTTTATTGTAGTTAGAGTGTCCAATCCTAACACCCCGGAAACCACCTATCAGTGAGTTAATAAATTAATAACTTATTATTGATGATAGCGCTTTATGTGTTTATTCGATGAGGTTTAAGGTTAAAGTTCTCAAAGTTAAATTCCAATACCACGCTTGTCCCAAAATTACATCTCATTATTTTTCCTTCCTTGAAACGACCATCTGCCCAGGATTGCTGTTACACGATCAGACGAGGTACCCGAGTTTGGTCCAGCTATTCCAGAGGAGACGATGAAGAAGGGAGCTGCCTTCAGACACTTCCTGCTGACTAAAGGTTGGGTTCCTGATTTTGTTGATGTTTTATCAGGTTCTCACCATTATTTCCGATCAAAAGAATTGTGAGTTATGGCTGAATATATCACAATTTCAGTGATAAACGCCGAGAACGCAAGTTTGAAAGCCAAGAAGTTGGCCCTGATGGCCAAACGAACTCGTGAACAGCTTCTTAAGAACTTCTGTGAGACGCTTTGTACATCAACAACTCTCGTTCCTAACCCTAAAAAGAGCGGCAACCCAGGTAGAGTACAATATACGAATAAAAATAATCTTTACTCTAAATAAGTAGGTTCAATCATTGTCCGTATTCTGTCACCACAAAGTTAAATAATCAGTTTGTAACGATACTAATTTTAATTACCTCTCTTTACCAGGTAGCACTTTAAATTCTCCCTATTTTTCAGGAAAACTGGGACGTTCTTGGTCGTTCAAAAGGAAAGCCAGGTTTGCCCAGCGCCTTGCACCTGAGCTTGTGAGTCGTGGAGCACTTAAATGGAGTGTGTCTGTGGTGGAAGAGGGTGTGGAGAAGCCTTGTATGATGGCAATTTCACCAACTCAGATAGTCATCAAAGAACTTAAAACTAAGGTACTGCTGGGGCATAATCCAATCCATTAGCTCAGTTGTCGCTCTTTCAGAATGCCGCATAATGTAGTAATGATTGAATCTCGTGGACAAAATGTAATCAGCCCCCGTGAAGTTCATGTTCTATCAGGTCTTGTAATGAACTGTTATTTTCAGACCATGATGTACATGTTGCCGTGTAAGGCTGTTCTGGGTTGGACTTCCACTATGGATTCCCTTAAACTCTACTACGACACAGGTACGTAAAACTTTTAAAGACTTGGCCTATAGTTTTAACGGAAATGTAACATTCTGTAGTTGGAACAATCTCGGAATTTTTCTAGGAGATTGCCACCCGCACCCTTAAGATAACCGGGAATATTTACATGTAACCCAATGACAGATGTCTTTTTATGAAGCTGACCAATGCAGCTGTGTATTACTTTATACAAGTTTGGATCTCGGGCATGGTTGACAAAATCATAAATAATCTTAATGAGGAACACAGCTTGGCCACGAAACTAACGTATTGACTGGTTATAATTTCAGGGGAGGTGATAGTGATGAAGAGAGATACCACCTCTACCCAGGATGACAGTACGAGTGATATCGACGATATTGTCAAGAGACTGACTTGCACCAGCGACGGCTGCGAGGTAATAACTCTAGCACATGATATCCAGCTAAATTAAACTTTCATTATATACGATCACATGTTTCGTACTCAACAAAAGTTTATCTGTAAGTTGTAACCCAATGCTTTTTCCTAAGACACAAGAGATCCGAGTAATAAAGAACCAGCAAGGGAAGCTCGGATTCCACATCCAGTTCCAGGGTATTGTGGGGGATGTCACAGAGAACGGACCAGCTTGGGCTGCTGGCCTCAGATGTAGCTCCAGACTCGTAGAGGTAATTTGACAATGTTTGGCATCGTTCTTTAAGATGTATGTATTAATAAGCATAGTATGCATATTGCATATCCGAGAGTTATGTAAAATATTTGATATCTGGACTGGTTGTAACAAAATTGTAACCGATTTACAAAGTAAATAAGAGCTAAATATAGCTGGTTGCTCTTTCATGGATTAATCTACAGATATTCAAAACCGTACTAATGTTTCGTGAACACCCCAACTGATGTACCATAGTGTAGCACTGTTAAAATACATTACACAATGGAAGACACTCGACGTGAGATGTATTGCTAAGAATGGGGACTAAACATAAACTTTCTTTATTACATCTCTCACAGGACCATTTTATTCCCCTAACGGTACACTAATAATATCACCATGTTTCAGGTCCGTGGCACACTGGTAGCCCACCTCGAGCACGAGCAGCTCATCACTCACTTGAAAGGAAAAGACACGATTGTTGTGGTTGCACTTCCTCCTTTCCCTGATGGCCAGCCTCGAAGGTACAGATTACTTTTGCTAGCGTGATTTTCATCACACTTAAGTCGCCGTCAATGGTTTACAATTTTTATCCATGAACAACTTTTTAAATTTTTATAATCTCCCAGATAACACGATTCACCTTTTGTATTTCGTAGGAGCATATCGCAACTGCAGTCACCAACGGACGTGCGTCCCAAAGCATCGAGTGTCTCAACCACTCGTCCTTCGGTAGGCTCACCAACTCCAGCTCCCACTCCTACAGCTCCCTCTTTAGCGGGATCAGAATCTAACGATGTTATCGCTCCCCTAGTTGATAGACGCATGACTACTCCAGAGGTAAGAATCATGCAGGGTAAAATATGTCAGCCGAGATAATTTTCCTGTCGATAGGTTTTCAATATTTCGAAGAAATATATCGCCACAATAACTATTTTATCCATCCTTCTTATCTCCTCAATTCAAACTTTACCAGTCATCCTCCCGTCCGGAGTCGAGAGAATCCATCAACGCGCGTGCTATGACACGTGGCAGCATGATAGCCCTCAACCTTCTGGAGCAGGAACTGGGGATTGACGATACTGAGCACATTGACCTGGACGAGTTCCTGGAGTCCATCGTCGGCAAGGACAAACTCAAAGAATTGGACGATGAGGTTTGAAATTTCAGCTTTTTTACATAAGTTAGGTGTTAGGTTTCCTCGCAATCTCTGGCAGCTAAACTATTTGATTAAAAGAACAATAACGTGTAAATGCTGGACTTCGTGATCTTGTTCCTTTCCACATTATTATTATTGTACCCGTGGGAAGAAGTTTCGATTAATCCCTCTTGTGTCCAGGTAAAGGAACTAGAAGCGCGGTCCACTTCCTCATCCCGTCCGAACACCCCGTCCTACCACAACAGCCAGCAGTCCCTCAACTCTGAGGACGGACCATTCTCTCCTGGAGCTACGCGCCACAAGAGCTTTGTTGTGTCGCCTACCTCCCCTAAACGCAGAGAGCTAACGCCGGCTTCTGAATCAAAGGAGAATAACGATATTGGTATGCGATTCGCTCTGGGATCCGACAACTTGGACACAGGTAGAAATAACTCGACAGTGGGTAAACGGTTTGCACTGAGAACAGATACTCTGGATTTCGGATCCACACGATCCAACCGAAGTGTGATCGGGGCAGAACGTCAGAACGGACACCCACGTAGCGGGTCACGTGACTCTACCCACGAGAAGCCGGATATCAACGAGATATTCAAGATAATCGACAAGACCAGATTAGAATCAGAAGCAAACAACAGATCCCCAACCGATGATATCTCAGGTATTTATGCAGCCTTGAAGCCTGTTGTGTGTGTTTTACAGCATTGTTTTGTTGTTTGAAAAGAGTAATAAGTAGTTGGAGTTTTTTTGGCGTTTTGAAATTGTTCATTGAAAAGGTGTGCCTGCCCTGATTTTACCAGTCGCTGTACTTTCGAGTGATGTCTTACATCTAAATTCATTCGATTCGTATAACTAATTCTGGAGCCTCCACCAAGTCCAACATCTGCATTTTTAGAAATTGATGCAGTTGTAAGCATGATTGAGAAGGTATTGGAAAACACTGATTCATATCTAAACGAGGAATTATCAACCCGGGGCCTGCCTAGCGATTCCGACAATGGTAAATCACAATTTCTTTTCCCATACAATGTCAAAAAGTTGAATTTTCTGGTTTAAAATCTTCTTATCATTGAAATCCCTCTCTGTGTTGCATGTCTGATGGTGGCAGCATTTTGAACTATTTTGTTTTTAAATATTCAGTTCACTATAACTTACCACTGCTTAACACTGCGACCTACAGATAACAACACGGTGTCAGATGCGGCCGGTCCGCGCTCCACGGCCGCGCCCGCCTCCTCCTCTCCCTACTCCTCCACACGCTCCTCCAGAGCACGTGCAGACGAGAACACGCCGCGCAATGGAACGTCGGGTCGACAATCGCCTAACAGAACGATTACTGCTAGTCCGTACTGTAAACCCAACAACCAGAAAGTGGAAAATATACAGGTAAATTAACCAACTTGGTCCGATATGGGTTAAACTTAAAGTTTGTCAAGAAAAATCAAAATGGGCGATTGTGTTAAACTTCAAGTAAGAAAAATTGAATTTTTCTATGTATTGATAATTTAAACCAACATGATAATCACACAGCGGAAGATGGGAGATTATACAGATGATATAGAGAATGCTATCGAACAGCTCGACTCAATCAATCTCCAAGATACAGCCAGAAGGAAGCCCAGTATATCCAGCTCCAGTCTTAGCGACGAAGGTTTGGATGCATGTCTGTTTTTTTCCTTTACGATGATTGACTTACTGATTGAATGATTTCCTCTCTCTCTTTTGATCTTTGATTGACTTCTTCGAATGGTAGTAACCTTGTTATGCTTGCATTTGGTAATGGTAGCGTTTATTGTTACGGTTTAAATTATATTATTCGATAACATATCTTATTATCTATACTATTTATTCGCCCATCCAATTATTCAGTCACTCACACAACCAATTAGTCTTATATCCTAAGTTCTACCAACTAACCATCAACATTGTAATGGTTTTGTAGCATTTACAGCAAGTTCGGAGAGTAGCGACCAAGGTTTCCCAGCCACATTAACTAGAAATGGAGTTGCTCCACAAAGAACCGAGGAATTTGTGGAATTTGTGGCACCTTTGCCTCCGACTCGGTCGCGGACCGGTGCGGTTAGCGCCAAATCTTCCATCCACTATCTCCGTGAAAATCAACGATGTGAGTGCCGTAACCGTGTTGGCGATGGGCATGATGCAATAAACCCACTTCAACATTTCAATGTCTGCTGCTCAAGCCGTTACTTTCAGTGTCCATTAACTGTTATGTCTGGATAATACAAGCTTGCTAATATGTCCGATGTAAAAGTGGACAATTTCACTGAATCCATTGACTGATTTTGAATGTTTAGCCAAATTTAGGAATGTGGTTTTACTGGGATAATGCCGACATGCCATGCACGACCAGAGGACATGAATACTACTTCCTGACTTGTTTATTACATGATACCTGACTGATTGACTGATAACTATGCATCAACGCATATATTCGCATATGTATTTGGCATAACTTACTACTACTACTACTTGCTAATGAAATTTTGGTTCACCAACCAAATTTATACCAGACTTTCCGGTCGACTGTTAACATCAATCCACTTAGTTGAGAGTTAGGTCGATAAAATTTGAGAGTGACGACAGAAATGAATGTTAAATGTGTGTTAATGTGTGATCTGAATAGAATGTCACGATGGGGTTTGGATTTTGTGATTGTGAGGATTGATGCTGAATGATAAAGTTATACAAACCGGGTAAGTGATAACTGGCGTGATCCCATATTTTGACAGTGCGCGGCGTCAGAAGTGACATTTAACGGTAGCACAGTTTTGACAGCCGCGCACATATTATATTTGGTGGTCTCCCTGGTGAAACCTCCCCAACAATTTCCTCCGCAAGACTAAACCCGTTCCATATTTAGCACGATCCAACAGTATCCACGTGTCTCCTGGTCCAAGACGGGGCAGCGGCAAGCCCCTGTCCTCCACCATCAAGAAAAGTAAAAGTAGTGGGGATATCTTCAAACTTTTTGGTGCCAGCAACAATTCTCTTAGCGGGAGTAAAAGTAAACAGAAAACTTCGGGTTATGGTGCCAAGCAGAAAAAGTCAAGTCCTGAAACCAGCAGACCTGATTCAAGGAGCGGATCAAAGACTCCGACAACAGCTCGGGAGCGGGAGCCGAGTGGTGGAAGACCGACATCCAAAACACCCACTAGAGATATGGATAAGCCTATCCCTAGGAGTAAAAAACCCTGTGAGTGTGTGCTGTGTGGGACCTTTTTTGGGCGTAAATATGTGTGAATTTATTGTCAAGTTTGAAAGTGTCTATAAAATAAACCTCATTCAGTCAAATTTGAACGCGCCAGTATAATATTCATTTTAGCTTTGCAAGATTCTACCGCCCTACCGGAAAAAAATGTGTGAGAATATTGTATGTGTGAATCAAAACATGAATTACTTTTTTAACACTATTTAGTATAGTTCAACTATACTAAATAGTGTTAAAAAGTAATTCGTGTTTTGAATTCCTGGAATGTGAGAAAATGCAAAAATAAATGCTCACAAAAATCTAACAAAAACCTGCCGCCCAGCTCGAGATCTCTCAGGCTCATCTCGTCAGAAAAAGGCCGCCCGGCGACTCAGATCCCGGTCACGAGTAATGGCGGAGGATATAAAAACAGTCATGATAGTGAATGCTGCCCGTGTAAAAGAGACCGCCGTGCGCACTGGAGGATTGATAAAGAGTAGGAGTAGCGGTAACATAATGAAGGCTATGAATACTGTTAGTAACAAGAGAGGAAGTTATGGTGGTCAGGGAGCCGCCCAGCCTGGCTCTGGAGGTGCGTTTATATCACGTGTTTTATTCGTGGGTGATGAGTAGTTTAGAGTTGGCATGTGCAAACGTCGTTAAACACGCATTTTTTAAGAGTTGAATATTAAGCGAGAATTCCGGTAAGTACGCATGAAATGTGAACCCAAAATGTGTGGTGACTGGTGAGAGTGTGCTGTGAGAAACCAACTAATTGTTAACTATATATTTTAATAAAAGTAAAAGCTCGTTATTTTACAAGTACATATCGATACTAACCTCTCTTAAGATATCAGCCCACAAGATGATAACCACAACGAAGCAGACTCTGTTTTGACTAGATCTAACAGTAAAGTACCTCACTCAAATGTTCGACGGAACTATTCTCTTAACGACAAAGACCGTCCTCCTCGCCCCATTCTCAAAGCTAGACCGCAGTCAGCCCGCGTGAATCTCGGTGGCGGCGTGAAGCACGTGGAGCGCGCGCAGCTCGTAAACTGTGACAATTCAAACCAGATGTTGGCGGAGCCTGAATCTGGTGACACCTTGTCAAGTTTAGATCGTGGGGAAAAGGGTGTTGGGGTGAGAAGAAGTGCAACTTTTTCTGGGAGGAGAAGAGTTTCTATTGAATTATGTGAGTTTGGTGTCCTTTTCTGGGATTTTGCCAATTTTATGGGGTCTAGTTCGTTGTTTATGATTGTAAAATATTTATTTACAGTTTATTGATATTGTTGCAAAAAATATAGGAATTTTATACAAACGATCTTGATCACCCGGTCGCGTGAAACCGACCATTATTCATTAATTAATCCACCCCTCTTCACCATTCCATGAGATAATAATAAATACATTCTCATGATCACTCCGCCGAAATATGTTCTCTTTATAACACGTGTGTAGCTCCCCCACAGTACTCCAGATCCAGAGCCTCCACCTCGCCTCTTCACCAAACAGACCAACTAGACCAACTAGACCAACAAGACCGAGTAGGGCGTCCTCGTGACACGTGTGATAAATGTACCAAGATGCAACGTCCCGGCCTTATTGTAACGAGGCCAAGTCGTCATGACGTGTTGGAAACGGAAGATGATGACGTCAGCAAAAAGTCCAATGTCGAGTCTGATTCTTTGGAGGACAGTTCGCCGGACTCGATGGAACTTGTGGGAAATTTATCTGGTAGACTTGTAGTAGGAGGAGCTAGAAAGAGCAAAAGTTTGGGTGACATGTTGTCTCTAACGAGAGGTTCCTCATTCATGACTTTTTGTTTAAATTCTGTAGTCAATCTTTAGTTAGAAACTTCACCCATATGAATTAATTAATATACCATTCTATCATTTTATAAAATGTATTTAATGTATTTATAAAATGATCTTTAATTCTACGTTTTATATCATGTCAATTTAACGTTGCGCATGTTAATTGTTAATCTAAGTATGTATGAAACTGCACACTTAGAAATTCAATCTCTGCATGAAACGTGCTTGTTGCATGAACTCTCTTCAATTATTGTGCCCTTTATATCCTTGTTCTCTGCGTATTATAGTTAGTATCATCGATATAATAACATAATTCGTTGATCTATTGACCAATAATTATAATATGAAAGTATTTACGAACTAACTCTGTTCTCACAAAAGTGAAATATAATTGAGATAATTATGATTGTATTGGAAACTATAATTACCTAATTATGCTAATATTTAATTAACAGCTTTCACCCCACAGGGTCTCCTCAAGTAACATCAGACAGTGTTAATATTAATACGGAGAGCGAACAAAGCACCAGCGACGATGAGTTCCCACAACGGTAATATTTAAAATACTTTCCTGATTTATTTATTCATACTCCGATTTGTTTAGTTATCTTAGATTAGTGGTTTATATGACCAATCCTTTCCAACTTAGTAAAAGTTTGATTGCAATATCTGAATTATTTAAAAACTGCAACTGTGCCATCTTCCGTCCAATTATCATTCGTCTATCCAAATACCTGGTTATAGCATATTTTCTCTGAGCCTTATTTTTGAACTACTTATGAAGTTTTAACTTTTCCTTTCAGGCACTTCACAATGCGGCGTATGAGAAGAGAAGGATTACTAATGGAACAGCCAAGCGAATCGAGCGATCAAAGCCGAGCGAGCGATGACATCCCACCGTCTCCACTGCAGATGCTGATGGAGCGGGCCAGGGAGGCTCAACTCGATCAAACTGCAGAAAACGACAAGTAAGAACTGATAACTTTGAAACAACTTCACTTGTTCTAATCAGAAGAAAAGTTTGGCGTCGTGCTCTTCTGAAATATTTCTAAGCCTAACCAAATTTCCCCAATTTAACCTGATCTTGTCTGAAAACTTACCAAATTACCAACTCTCAGCTCCTGGGTGAGAACGACACTCCTCCGAATCGCCGAACTGGAGGCAGCTCTTGAACGGTCCAACTTCGAACTCCAAGCGGTAAGTCCCCGTCCCTGCTACAGTTCTCAGATAGCCACCGTCTGTTTAGTCTGTATGTTTCGTGCTGGTCATTAGTTTGAGTCGCTCTAAATTTCTCCGGAGTCAGAGTGGTTTATTTAGGTAGACACTAAATATATAGTCACGCTAATGCTGTATATTAGACATTAGTCATAGTGGTGTTCTGTGAGGTTTATTGAGTTTCGTGCGGATTGCGGTATGTGGTTGTTTTTTAGATCGAGAGTAAGAAAACATGTCCAGTGTTATATTAAAGGAAGCGCATAAATCTCCAGATAAATTTACCTAAACCACATTTCAGTTACGTAAACAAAATAGAGAGATGGAGCAAACTTTGGAAATAGTAGACGAGGAAAACGCCAAGATCAGGCGGGAGATGGACCGTACCAACTCCCAACTTGCAACCTTTACCACCTGGGTTCAGAGCAGGCAACTGCTTTGAGGTGAACGCATACTGTTCTCCCGCGTGGAGTCTACTGATGCGTCAAAGGAAGAATAATTGCAGGACCATAAAACTTCTGCTCTTGAACGGGATGAAATTAGATATCGGTGGTTTGCTGTTAGTAACCAGAAGAGTTCGCGGAGAAGTTTGAAAATTGTTACCGTTTAGATTGCTACGATTGTTCTGAGATTTTGTGAACAAAAGTTCAAGGTGACCCGAAAGTCGAGAATATTCTTGGATAACCCAATCTTTTTTGTTTTATTATGATAAAACTTTGACTTTGTACCTTGCCAATATATACACTTTATACATGAAACTTTTGTATGTCGCCGTTACAGTCAACGAAGTTAAAGCATTTTTTTTTTCTAAACAAACCAAGACGACTTAAGTTTGCGCAGCTTTGTTTTAATTTTTATGATGTTGAATACCTGGTTTTACGATAATTTACTGTTTAAATTGGAAAATTGGGCGTGTCAACGTCTTTTCAATATCTCTTATTGTTTTGCACACCTAATTAAAATAAGCTGGTAAGACGGACACCTGACTATTTAAAGATTGAATTACATATACTCTTAATTTCTTTTACTGATAAAAACTGGGGTACATCAATTTTAGAGATACAATCGATAATTATGTAACATGTATAGATTAAATGTATTGAGTTACATTAAAATTGTCACAAAATATTTACTACTGAAGGAATCGCAACGAAAGACTAATTGGTCATGTGTTAGTTAGACTGAATTAAAGAAGTACTACAAACTTTTTCATTGCCAATAATGTGATTAAACCGCTCTTTTGGTAGTACACTGGGGATCTTAACTTGTAAAAACTTAAGATTAAACAATAACATCAAATGGGGTACTATATAGATCAGCACACAATAATCAATATTAACTTTTGGGGACAAATAATGATTTTGTTTCAGTCTAAGAACTTGCATGCTGTGTATGATATCTCTCTGCCGTTTTGTACCGATTTTGATTATATTTATCTAGTGTTGTAAAGTACAATATTGAAACGATGTCAGGGTTCCTTGAACTTAAATGGTAAGGACTTAACGTCGGTCGAAGTGGCTGGTTGTTAGTTTGGTGGAAACGTGGAAGGTGGATCGATATAGAAATAGAATCAGTGACATGGTTAATATTCGAAACAATAACTTATAACTATGAACTTAAGCCGATGCACTTATAAATTTGACAACATTAATTAAAACTGAATTTTACTATCTTTACGACAATTTCCACCACTCTTACGGCTTACCGGTTGTTATCTACCGATACTGTCACTAAACGTTATCGGCATTACTGCACCGTTACTTAGCATTTTGAACCGGCTGCAGTTGTGCCTTTATCAATAATTTATTTCTTTTTCTGTCAATCATATATTCAATCTCTATAAATATAATTTCATTGAGTTTTATTATATTAGACACTACAATATTGATAGCATATAATTTCACTGAAATTTAAAGAATCGTTTTATTTTTACCACCAATAGTCAGTGTGATAATGATATACATAAAGAAATAGAAATATAACGAAATAAAGAAATACGCCGCAATCCAATAAAAACCAATATGCAATAGCGTGAGATCGGGATTAGTTTTTATAATTAGTTTTGATATTGGGATTAGTTTTTATCTGCTTATTGGCTTATAACTTCCCATGAGAATAGCTTTGATTGGTTCTAAAATGTTCGAAATTTAAATGGCATGTGGAGATCAGAGATGAAGGGAGCAAAAAATGCGTCCACTTATTCTCGTTGTTAATAGAGTATATGTCACAGCAATATCTAGATTAGATAGAGGCAAGTTACCTGAGGAGACTACTAATCACCCGAACGTCTATTCAGACAAGAAGTAGAACTTCAAGCCTTGTTCATGTTGTTGGACAAGGGTGGAGGCAAGGAGAGAGCCTGGTGCAGTTTCCATTGGCAGCACGCCCAGTAGTAGGAGTAAAACGCTGTATAACTAATACCTGTGACCAAAGACCAAGCCTTGCTGCGTGCATATATTCATAAGTCTCGCTGTCAGAGCTGAGTTCAGTGTTTAGCGAGCTCTAAGAGATTGACTGCATGCACCGTCATCAAATATAAAACTAGCCACTAATAATTGTATATCAATTAATTTGAAGGTTTTATTCTCGCTTAGAGCTGCTTATAATAGGGGCATGGAATGGTAGCATTATTGATTAAACTCAAAACTGAGTTGGTTTGACGTAGTAATAGTGAATAGTATTACTATTACTATTAGTATTAGTAACTGATTACCAATACCTGATGTCCTCTGTCGGCCGTCGGGGCAATAGCTGAATGATACTTTAAAATCTATATATATATCGGTCATATGTCGTGTCTCTAAGTTGTGCTGTCTTACTTAAATGAAATATGACTTACCGCGGCAGTCAATTATCAGACGCAGTAAAACTTGCTGATTACGGAGGGGGGGGGGGGGGGTAAAAATGTTCCGAAAAATGATTACAGATTACGTAATATGTAAAGTGTGAACCGCGGTGACCGGACCGACCCCATTCCCCAAACGGCCGAAGCTCCTCTATCAGTATTACTATTAATATTATCAATCATTTTGATGTATAACCCTTGGCCTTATTGATTCCCGTGTCATAAATTATTCATTATTGACGTCATTCGTTTATACCGGCTTAGTGTTCATAATATAAAGGGGGGGGGGGGGGGGGGGGGTGTCACGTCCGTCTATGTCCGCTTGTCTCATAGAATCCAAAAAGGACAGGACATAGGCGGACATAGGCGGACATAGACGGACATAGGCGGACATAGGCGGACATTGGCGGACATAGACGGACATATACGGACTTTAGCGGACATTAATGGACACCTAAATTGCTAAATAAAATGTTCAATTTTTGCTGTTATATCATGTTTTTTTGTCCGTTCGGTACCCTATATTTTCAAAACGGACAAAAAATAGAGCAGACAAAAACAGACAAAAATGGACAAAAACGGACTAAAGGAGGACCTGGGAGGAGGAGGAGGACAACTGAGGAGGATGACTCAGGTGGAGGAGGACTCAGGAGGAGGACTGAGAAGGAGGAGGACTGAGGAAGATGGCTGAGGAGGATGGCTGAGGAGGATGACTGAGAGGGAGGAGGAGGAGGAAGAGGAGGAAGAGAACTGAGGAGGAGGAGGAAATAACATTTAGCTTCCTCCTCCTACTCTTCCTCATCCTCCTCCTAGGTCTTCCTGATCTTCCTCAGTCCTCTTCCTCCTCCCCTCCTCAGTCCTCCTCCTACTCCTACTCCTCCTCCTCGTCCTCAGTCCTCCTCATCAATCCTCAACAGTCCTCCTCCTCCCCAGTCCTCCTCCTCCTCCTGAGTCCTCCTCCTGGGTCCTCCTCCTGGGTCCTCCTCCTCCTCTTCATCCTCCTCCTCTTCCTCCTCAGTCCTCAGTCCTCCTCAGTCCTCCTCCTCATCCTTCTCCTCAGTCCTCCATCCTCCTCCTCAGTCCTCCCCCAGTCCCCCTCCTCCTCCTCCTATTCAGTTCTCCTCCTCCTCCTTCTCCTCCTCAGTCCTCCTCCTTCTCAGTCCTCCTCAGTCCTCCTCCTCCTCCTCCTGAGTCCTCCTCCTCCTCCTCCTCTTCCCTCTCAGTCATCCTCCTCAGCCATCCTCCTCAGTCCTCCTCAGTCCTCCTCCTCAGTCCTCCTCCTCCTGGGTCGTCTTCCTCCTCTTTATCCTCCTCCTCTTCCTCCTCAGTCCTCAGTCCTCCTCCTCAGTCCTCCTCATCATCCTTCTCATCAGTCCTCCTCCTCCTCAGTCCTCTCCCAGCCCCCTCCTTCTCCTCCTCCTATTCAGTCCTCCTCCTCCTCCTCCTCCTCAGTTCTCCTCAGTCCTCCTTCTCATTTCTCCTAAGTCCTCCTCCTGAGTCCTCCTCCTCCTCTTCCTCCTGAGTCCTCCTCCTGAGTCCTCCTCCTCCTCCCTCTCAGTCATCCTCCTCATTCATCCTCCTCAGCCATCCTCTTCAGCCATCCTCCTCAGCCATCCTCCTCAGTACTCCTCAGTCCTCCTCCTTCTCAGTCATCGTCAGTCCTCCTCCTCAGTCCTCCTCAGTCCTCCTCCTCCTCCTGGGTCCTCCTCCTCCTCCTCCTCCTGGGTCCTCCTCCTGGGTCTTCCTGATCCTCCCCAGTCCTCTTCCTCCTCCCCTCCTCAGTCCTCCTCCTACTCCTCCTCCTCGTCCTCAGTTCTCCTCATCAGTCCTCAACAGTCCTCCTCCTCCCCAGTCCTCCTCCTCCTCCTGGGGCCTTTTCCTGGGTCCTCCTCCTGGGTCCTCCTCCTGGGTCCTCCTTCTCCTCCTCAGTCCTTTTCCTCCTCAGTCCTTCTCCTCCTCCTCCTCAGTTCTCTTCCTCCTCTTCCTCCTCCTCCTCCCTCTCAGTCATCCTCCTCAGCCATCCTCCTCAGCCATCTTCCTCAGTCCTCCTCCTTCTCAGTCCTCCTCCTGAGTCCTCCTCCACCTGAGTCATCCTCCTCAGTTGTCCTCCTCCTCCTCCCAGGTCCTCCTTCTGGGTCCTCTTCCTCCTCCTCCTGGGTCTTCCTGATCCTCCTCCTCCCTCTCAGTCATCCTCCTCAGTCATCCTCCTCAGTCATCCTCCTCAGCCATCCTCCTCAGCCATCCTCCTCAGCCATCCTCCTCAGTACTATTCAGTACTCAACAGTCCTCCACCTTCTCAGTCCTCCTCAGTCCTCCTCCTGAGTCCTCCTCCTCCTGAGTCATCCTCCTCAGTCCTCCTCCTCCTGGGTCCTCCTCCTGGGTCCTCCTGAGTCCTCTTCAGTCCTCTTCCTCCTCCCCTCCTCAGTTCTCCTCCTACTCCTCCTTCTCGTCCTCAGTCCTCCTCATCAGTCCTCAACAGTCCTCCTCCTCCCCAGTCCTCCTCTCCTCCTCCTCCTCCTCCTCCTCCTCCTCCTCCTGGGGCCTTTTCCTGGGTCCCTATATAATTTGATAAAATAAGTTAAAGCTATTAATAGCTTTAGTGTGATTAATAAGTTATATTCCCTATATTTCGTTAAATAGGTACTGTGCCTACTGTGTACCCTGTGTAACTGTTTCAAAGATATGTTGACGACACAAATAGATCTGGATTTAGCGACCGGATTTGGTGACTGGATTTAATTAAATATTGGGAATATTTGTGAGATCTTTATTCTTTAGACCTCTTATATGTCGCTAATGTCCACCAATGTCCGTCCGAGTCCGCCAATGTCCGTCCGGGTCCGCAAATGTCCGTCCGAGTCCGCCAATGTCCGTCCGAGTCCGCCAATGTCCGTCCGAGTCCGCCAATGTCCGTCCGTGTCCGCCAATGTCCGTCCGTGTCCGCCAATGTCCCAAAAAACACGTCCGTTGTCTCATAGAATCCAAAAAGGACAGGACATAGGCGGACATAGACGGACGTGACACCCCCCCCCCCCCCCCCCCCCCCCTATAAACACATTGAGCATAAAACCGATCGAAGAATGAAGATATGGATGAATGACGTAGGTTGAGGTGTTGAGCTCCACCCAGTGGCAGTATAAAAGTTATTCGTTATATAGTTATACTATTACTTATACTTATAGTTATACAGGGTGGGCCAAAAGTCAGTGTGCAAACGTTGGGTCTTATACCTCCGCCGTGTTTTATATTTGAGAGCTGTTGCTTTGCAGATGGCATACTGTACTTACTGGTTCGAGGATTCCGTCGTCAAAATTTGAAAATTCGAATATTTTAGACCACACCCATTCAATATTAAAACACCTATATTGTTTACTCTGAACATGCTGAACGCCTAATTTTTTCAGAGACGGTAGATTATCAAATGTTGCATATGATCTGAAAACATGAGGCAAAACGGATTAGAAATGACGAAGTTATCAAGCATTTTGTGTATCTCGTTAACAAAATTGACTGGGTGATTATGTGACACCGTGACACGACACCTTAATTGGGCACCCTTAACAATTCCCATAATGTTTAACGGGGTAGTTAACGAGGTCACCTTATCACGTGATTAGGTAAACCAATCACCTGATCACACGTAATGAATAAACTCGTTATGCTTCATATCTTGGTCATCTGAGAAGCTACAGTTCTAATTCTTTCAGGACAAACGTAATTCGAATGGCCAAACACAATTCAATAACATTTAGCTTGATCCGACTATCCAAACTATCAAATAAATGTGAAAATGAACCTCCATTTGAAAAAAATGAACGCGAATATTTTTCGAGTTGACAAATTCCTCGAACCAGTGGTGGTACTAAGTCATACCAGAAGGAAGTATTTCAATTGGGCACTCAGTGACTGAGCTATTAAGGCCAACGTTTGCACACTGACTTTTGGCCCACCCTGTATGTTATAGGTCAGAATTCGCCGTAAAATAAAAATGTGTCTGTTAAACTGCTTTAAATTGGGTTTGTGTAAAATAATGAATACCACTCTTGAGGCACTATTAAAACTTCGATCTT